TTTTTTTTTTTTTAAGTCTTGGTGTCTGAATAGTAAATACAATGCAAGCTCTAACCTTTACCATTTGATTCTTTGTTTTTGTTATTGTTTACTAGATAGCTTAATTGCTATACTATGATCTCATATTCGTATATTGGTAATATTCATGTTTTGTAAAAATCGTTACGTGCATTTGTTTCGAATTTCATGTTTTATTATTAACTATTAAAAGTCTGTTGATCCTATATGGCTGTTTTTTGCACAGGTATTGTTACGTATGTTTTGATTGTTTTATGGTTCTGGAAGATGCCTGTGACCACAATATCCGATCAACTTGTGCAACCTTTTGGTAATACATGAGTTTTCTCCTTACATGTTTTTTTTACTATCAAATTCTAGTGTAGCGTAGATAAATTTTTGTCGGCGAAAAGGGGCTTCGAATATATAAAATATCTATTTTGCAGGCAAGTTGATATCTTTGCGAGACGATCTTGCGGTAATGCAGCTGAAATATGTGGGTAATTTTCTTAGCTTAATTTTCTCTTTGGATTTTGGCTACGTTTGGTAACCAAATAATCAGCTAATTCTACCAAACATAGCAACTTATAGCTTATTAGCTTTCGGTATTTAAATATACTTCGTTTGTAGGACAAACTTTTTTAAAAAGGCTAAAAAACTCAAACTTATCTCATAAGCTTCTTTGGATAGGTTGTCAAATAAGCTCGTTGAAGAAACTTTTTTAAAAGCTCAAACTTATCTCATAAGCTTCTTTAGGTAGTTTGTCAAATAAGCTCGTTGAAATTTTTATCTCATTAGAAATGTTTGTTTGTGTGTTTGTGCATTGTGTTTGTATGCATTGTGTGCTAGCTCTTTGTTTTTCTTGAAATTTTCCATTATTTAATTATTTTGAAGATTTCCATTAATTAATTATTTGCTGACAAGCCATTATAATATTCTTCCATTCGAGAATTGGCAAATTTCAACAGACTTGGAGAGATGCTACGGTCCCATTACGAAATCATTTCGTCGGGGTTTGTAACCGCTAGATCAACTATCTCTGGCGGTTATACGATGATCTAACGGTTGCAAATCTGTCAAACCGGGGGCAAAACGAGTGCAATCCCACACAAGTGAAACGCACAGTAAGATGGTTAGCTCAAATGAAGTCCAAGTGAGGTTCCATCCAAAACTAATTGGTGATGGGAGATGAGTAGGCCACTAGGCTTATAAATTAGGCTCATTTACCCTATCAAATCAATGTGGGACAACTCACAAGTGATATTCCAACTAAATCCGATTGAATGGTTCCGTAACAAGACCGTAGCATTTCCACGGACTTGTCACTAGAAAACTAGCATTAATATTTCAACGGACATGTCCAATCTAACTATAAGAAAAAAGATAAAACTTCAACGGAAATATTATGATTCTATTGAATTAAAATGATAATTTTAACGGATAATCCAATGAAATTGAAAAGCGACACGTAAAATTTCAACGAAAATATTATATTTTAATAGAATTAAAATGATAGTTTTCATAATAGATATATATTTCAAATGAAATTAAAAAGTGACAAGTACATAAGTGCCGTGAAGATTCACCAGCCTATTCAAACATCATATATATATATATGTGTGTGTGCATGTGATGGCTTCCAAACTTTAAAGGTGGAGCGGAAGAAGTGTTGATCGAATCAACTAAGAACAATCTGTGCAGTTTTCGGCACGTGGGTCGCACAATAATGGGTTCCCAGTAAAATCCCTGCACAAACGTAGAATACGATACTCTTGTAAGTTATTGTAATACACGGATATTGTACCGGTGTTACATTTTACGAAAATGTAAGATTTGAAAAGATCAGACGATCAGATCTCCGAATAGAGGCCAGAACTCTGAAATTGCAGTATTCTCTTAGAAAATTAATGAATAAAAATAGAAACAACCAAATGTGGTGTACTTTATATGCTTAGGTAATTAATTAGGACTCACACGTATAGTAATTGACCGTGGTCGGGATATAATGTCTGAGGAAAGCAGCCACTCAGATTATTGTCTTGTAGATAACTGTCCTTGCAAATGCACGTCAAAATTGTAAGATAACAAGCTAAATATCTTATCTTAAAAGAAATAAATGTATGTATATATAGTAATTAATTAATTACAAGATTGAGAAAGAAAAAAATCCACTTACAGCCACTGTAATTTTTGCATATCAGCAAACGCCCATGGAATCTCACCCGTTAAAAGATTGTCATTTAAAGACAGAAATGTCACATTAAGATGACCAAATTCACCAGGTAAACCTCCCGTTAGTTGATTGAAACTCAAGTCCCTAGCACCCCAAAATAAAAATCTTAAGCATGTGGAGGCAGTGCCCGCACATGTAACATCGAAATTTTCCTATATCAGTAGTTCAACACCATCGATTTTCTTAAAACAACACAATTTGTCAAAAAAAAAAATGACTTACAATTGCTTCAGCATCGGCAACAGTGTAAGTGGGTAGGCGAGTTGGGCGAGTTCGGCTGAGAGCGATTGATTAGAAAGGGAACTAGCAAGAACAGATTTCTTTTCAAAAAAATAAATAATAACAAAATAAAAGATAAAATGCAATGTTATAATGGTTGTGAGAATTTGGGAAAAATATGTTGTGTATTATTCAAAAGACATGTACACATATATATAGGAACATAATGAGCCTAAATCTAATCCTACAAGATATAGACAAAATATA